GAACTGCCTGAATGGCTCAAATGTGTTGGCATATTGCCCAGCAATGGTATAAGCACTGGAAATTGCATCCTAAAACAACATTATTTATTTTTGTTATAAAATGTAATGTAACATCAATGAATTGAAACTGTGGTAACATTCTGAATGCTGTACTATCCTCATGGAATAACTTATAAGCTGAGTTATATGTCATATATAGAGTTATTTGTTTGCAAGAGAAAGGATAAAGACTCACTCTGATGCTTTGAATGATGCCCTGTAGATGCCTGTCATCYTCAAACATTGTGGCTAAACTTGGTCCTTCTCCTACTGTTTTCTCCTCAACTTTACCATTGATWATWGGCCTGCAAGATAAGACAATTAGTGTTCATCATGAGCTGTGCTGACATACTTCTGGTTTCATCTGTTCATTATATAATAAAACAGGAGTTGCAGCATAAGATAGGTACCTTGTAAATGCATCAAAGTAAGGGTCAGGCACAAGATTCATGACGCTAAGAACAGCATCCTGGAACTTCTTGATGACTTCTCCAAGACCTTCATCAAAGTCATCCAGTCCAGGCTCAAACAACAAAGCCTGTGGTTCCATTAGAAGCTCGGTGGTGAATAGAGGGACCAACTCAATTTGYTCCTGTGAAAGACAATGTGGATATCATCATATGTTATACACCACCCATCCTTTCCCATCCATTTATTCATTTATAATCAATTCATTCATTTTCTCACCCATCCATTCATTTATTTGTCCATTCACAGACTAAATTTGTCATACCGCACATACACATACCTTCTCTGGCTCAGTAGACTCGGTTTCTTCATCTTTTTCCTGATCTTCATCTTCTTTACCAAGAATAGCAGCAAGCGATGGCGCATGTTGTAACTGTTCTTCTAAATAATTCAGCATGGTCGCTACTGAATTCACAGCCAACACATGCATGGTGTTGACAATCAGGTARTCTGCCAGGCGTATAAAGCTGAAAATAATCAGTGGAAACTACAGTTTACAAGTGAGCTTTTAATTGACATTATCATTAGCACCTCAATGCTCAATCCTCTATGATTGATAATGGACAATTCCTTGCAGTTTCCCAGCGAAGATTTCACACGTTATAATAAAATTTTCTATAGCATTCGTGCTCATAATTACAAGATGTGTTTTTGTTACCTTGTAAGGCGTCTGCAGTGGCTTCTTTTGTTTGCTTGTTCTGTGTAAGTCATTTTATCAGGYGCATCACCATAGACATCCATCTCGTAGCCATTGGGCATCATGTAGGATGATGTAGATTGGCCCATTGGTCCCATTTCATCTACAATTGACAGTAATCAACACTATTAGAAATGAAGTCAACTCTCTCGTAAGCGATCACCTCGGGATCAGGAAAAAGTGGTCGCTTCCGCTACGAGATGGTCTTATGAGAGAGGGTTTTTTTACAGAGTTTATATTGGGAAACAATTACATGTATAGTGGGAAATTTAAAAGGTGGCGGGATGCCTAATGAGATATGGTCGCTTACGAGAGTGGTCGTTCAAAGAGAGCCAACTGTAAATGATTTTCATTTGGCATCACTACTAGAGTAGTAGTAGGGACAGTCATATTCATCTATGTACATCTTCAAGACTGACCTGCATACATGCCAGAAGGACTTTCTAAATCCATAAAGTAATCATCTGGAGTAAAGCCAGCTTCCAAGAGAGCTGTACGACATGCACTTCTAACTACTTCCTTCACAAGATCTCTGAACTCAGCTAGTCGACCAGCAACCTAATACAATGGAAAATATCATTATARAATGTACCAGGAAAGAAAGATACAGACAGACAAGTGAATGAGGGTGAATCTTAGTGATTAACAGCCAAATGAATGAATACCTCTTCCAGTTGTTCAAATTGTGCATTCCTGAATTCCTCAAGAGTGTAAGTATGACCTTTCTCGACTTTACAAAGTCCCATGTCACTGATACGATAACACATCTCCCGTACATTGAGGAGAGCTGGTCGCAGAGACTGAAATAGCATAGAAAAATACAATTATATTTAATATCAAAAAACTACAATAATGATGAGACTATTCATGAGCTAATTGAGTTGCTTACAGAATTCACAATGAATAGGTTYTCTTGCAGACTGTTTCTACATTGGGTAACTTTTCTAAAAACAAAAATAAATCATTACTAATTATGAACTATTTGTATACAGTATGCTAGTTATTAAAACTCTTACTTTGTTCTGACATTYTTCCTCCAAACCACAAAGGCTTTCCACATTCGGAAGTTTGCAAAGGTTGGTATTCTAACAAGCCTCTTGTAATCTAAGTACTCTTTTTCCCATCTTGATAGAGATGTAAACTCTGCCTCATTATTACGCACATGAGTGACGCCCTCTTTGCTAATGGTATAGTGATCCTGATGGTTGATATCTGAATGCCTTACTATCCTGTGAAAGGAATACAGGACTCAGCAAAATAATCATATCATAATTGGTCTGCTACAGTATGTAACTGTGAGATAACATTTAAGTGTGACCAAGCAATAGTCTTCTTCACGRTTCGCTGCGCCRTCTTGAAATGTAGCCGTGTCTTTGTATCAAAGCRAGACGAMCGTTGAGCATGCAATGATAGAAACCTTCTTTCACACCTACAGATAGTTATTCCCAGGTATCTATCATTGCCGCTCAACGGTTGTCTCACTTTGATACAAAGACATGGCTATCTTTCAAGATGACAAACGTGAAGGAGACTATTCCAAAAGTCATCTCTGTTGTCAAAGACTGATTTCAGGCTGTGYGACCATTACAAACAAGATGCATTATTGTAGCTATCACAACATAAAATARAAAAATAAAACTTGAAATAACTTACTTAATATTATAAGGATTGTACTCAATTGATGACCTGTCAACAGCTGGAGTCAAATACAAAAATCCAAGCTTTGGGTTTTGCCGAATCAGTTTAAGAATTTCTAAAGGATCTCGTACATCTTCAAATTCATTTTCCTCAGTTTTTTGGCCAGTCGTTGGCTTTGCCTGTATACTGACTCGACCTTTATACTTCGGGGACCCTTCCCTGGGTGGTACTGGAGTTCGCTGACTCTTTGCTTGAGCTGCCGCATCGATCTGTTCCTGTTTTTGCTTAAGATCATCTGGAAGCTTGGGCAATGGGGAAGTTGTACGGATAGGCTCAACAGAGTCTTTCCTCCTAGCCTTTTGAGATGGTTCTGCAGTTAAAGGCGGAGATGGACTCTTTTTCTTTAGAACAGAAGTTGGAAGGTTTCTTTGTCTTTCTTGATATTTTGCTAGATTTGGCTTTCAATATAATAAAAAAGTATTTTAATTGTTTTCTATTCGCAAATCTCAGGAATATACGAACGATAACAAGACAGAAATACAAGAATCAAATTAGTTAAAGGTAGATATACGGGGAAACTTTTAATGATCGACACACCGTTTTTAAAAAATAATGCCCAAGTACGTACAAAAATGTTATAAAATCTTACCAGAGGTTCAAGTCTAGGWGCAGTTGGAATATTCTAAAATTAAAAAAAAACAGTAATTTATATACTGCAATAAGTATATAAGAGATTACATTATGTTTTATACCCAAATACTTTTGAAAACTTGAAACAATGTCAAGTGGAGTGAAATAATTAAGTTTACGAATATGATTGCAAAAACAGACCTTTTTCTCTTGCACYGGTGTTGGTCCAGAAAATCTTAAGGCCTTTGGATAAGGTGATAGTTCTGGTTTGCAATAAATCCTCGATCTGAGCTTCATTTCGTCTACTCCTGGCAATGCAAAAGAGTCCTTTGTTGTGCCATTTGAAGGATGTCGTACTCCATTGGACACAGTACCGTTGACTACGTTTTGAGCCATTTTGTCCAGAAAAATGATTTTTTTACACAATAAATAACTCCAATTTAAACCTCAAGTATCTTTAAATTGTTGAGTATGATCTTTTGAAGATTTATATTCTTTYTAAGTCTTCATTTGGCATTGAAATCTTTCAAAGTTTTGTTTTACTTGAAGTTGTCCGCCATTTTGTTTCTGGATCGAGTTGCTACGTAACGAGAGATAAACTGCACAGCCTCGCTTTCATGTAGAGAAAATCAACAATGGACGATGTGGACAACGGACTTTAGAGCTCCATTCCACAAAGAAGATTAGTGCATTTTATTGAACAACATTCATTTTATTTTTGCTTTTAATTTGTGAAACAGCTGCGAATGTTATTCACTTTGTTTTCGTAGAAAAGTTTTTCTCAAAACACTAAACTTTATTATTCGATCGATTTTAAGTTTTGCACATTTTTCTTGGGTCTTTTCGGCGTATAACACAATATTTACASTCTGTCGTGTTTCACGTATTTATGAGAACCAGTTTAATGAAATACATTAAGCACAATTGCTATTAGAAATAAATTGCAAATGAAAACATAGAATGTTTTTACGACCTATAACCCCACCCCACCCTACCCCAGTCCCCCAACTAGACAAGATTGAATTCGGAAATGCAAGAAAAAAAATCATTTCTCGATTTTGATGTTTTTCAGTGATTATTTGGATCGATGCGTTTGGTTACGCATGGGAAAAATATTTGCTTTGCTTMWAAAATACCTGTGAAAATGTGATAAAATCGCGCCTCATTTTAACTCGCGTCTGTCGAATATAAAAATAAATATATATAAGTGTATAAACGTGGCGAAAAATTAGCCCTTTTATTTGATTACAAAGAAACATCTAATTGGTGGATTATCGCTGATGGGAAAACTTAATGAATAATCTTTACAGGTAGAGTAAAGGGAGAATTTCTGACCCGTGCAGCCRAGGTGCGGCGAATCAACTCAACCAGAAAATTAACCATTTTAGCCTTTGTAAAGTAGATTCTTTCTTGGCTACATAACCCCCTTCATGCACGACAGATTTATMCTTTAGCTATCTTGAACGCCTTTTTGACAGTGCGAAGTTCAACGGTTGTAATTTTGACTGCTTCGAGTAAAGAAATCGATGGATTTAGGCTAACAAGTGCCGGTAGAAAACTGGGTATGTTTTTTCGTCAGTATTCCGCAAAGTACCAGAAATAGTAGGGATTTGGAAAAGATGAAACGGATCAGTTGGTCAGTGAAACACAACCCAAGCTGACTGTTTTGGAGGATATTTTCTTTGTGAAAAAGGTTTCAAGATCAAATCTCAAGTGAAAACTGTCTGACTGTCAACCAAATATCTGAATTGAAAGATGTCATCAACTTGAGTAGGCGCTGAGTAGGAATTTGTACGTCTAARCCAAGTCATTTTCTACATTGAGCAATACAAAATGGAACCAACATAGCAGTCACTGCAGCTTCAAAGACCTTCAAGATTCACAAATCTTCTTAGACGTTTTCCACAGTTTACACTTTATTTAAGATTGAAATCGTCTCAAAGCGAAGAGTGCGAATCATCCAAATTTGCGAGTAAAAGTACAACCCTGGATCAATTATGGAATACAAGATAGTTGGTATTAATCATAATGGTATTACAATCGAGTCACCGTTAGACAGAGCGGTTAAATGGCTTTCCGTCTACTTGATTGGTGGATTGGCRCTATTTCTTCTTGTTAAGGAGCATGTATTCGGTAAGTAAATGCATCATACTGATATGTCTGCTGATGTYTACTTTGCATTTCCCTCAAGCTGGCTTTTTATAGTTAGCGCGGAGTTATAACCAATTATCGGGATAGCATGGAAGAGTCGAAATTTTTGTTTTATTTTCGTTCAGCATATTTCTTTATTTTCCACAAGTCAGATTGAAACTAACTTATACTTTTGGCATGACTAAAGAAAAAGCTAAATGGATAAGTTGAGTTAATTTTGATTGAYAGATGACGCAATGGAGTGCCAACCAATCAACAAAGCCATCAAGGAAAACCTCTCGTACTCTCAGACCCAGGCTATCTATGACAAGGCGTTCTGCTCGGCCAACATGAGCGACTTTACACATAACCTTGTCCGCGCGCAGTCTGAGTTCGAGCATCTARTGAAAACCATTCCTGGAGTGTCAGTGGTAGGAGTAAAAGGAAACCCCGAACAAATGTATCAGCGKTATTTCCCATTTGCATTGTTGGTCCAGGCCKTTTTTTCATACACACCTGTGTTGCTATGGTTACTGTGGGCAACAGAGGAGCTGGTTATATCGATTAAGTACATAGCTCGTTCATGTCAGGATTTGATTGACAGGAGTCATCAGACTGRTGACCCCGTACATAGCTCAAGCAGTCCAGTGGCCTTTAAAACACGCGGGAACGAYCCGGAAGAAAARCAAAAGAAATGGGGTGAAATCGAATGTCAGATCGATGACTGGCTCGATCAAAAGTTCTTATCAAGATTATATATAACAAAACTAGTGATCACGGAGCTTATCTTAATATTATTCCTTATTCTATATTTCATGTATGATAAGCTCAACATCTCTCAATTCAAGGCTCATTTTGTTTGCCGCGTAGAAAACCAGTCTTTGGTCACGTGTATTTTACCTATAGTTAAGMTCTACAAGATGATTTGGTACACAAATATTATTATCATTGACTGCTGTATTATGTTCACGACATTTCAGTTCTTCTACATACTCTGTGGTATATTGAGACCSAGRGATTTCTTCTTTCTTACATATATGGACATAGGAGGGGACTCGCACGTGACTGCCATCACGGATGCACACGTGATTTCGTACTTTTGCTTCCAGAATCTTCGTTTTATGCCTCCCARTATTTTAGTTTGTAAGGCAGCCARGTCAAAGATATCAAAAATTGCCTCAAGTACTCTAATATCCTTTGGTGAAACAGCGAGCGAGTTGTCGGACAACGATTCACCGTTTTACTCTGCGTCAAATACACCACAAGGAGTCGTCAAAAATAATTAGTAATCATTACAACCCTCTGGAGTACGACCACTCTGGTAGCGCAGTGGTCGCTATACACTTAGTGAACCCTTTTAGTGGGGCTTTCATTATATTCACATGCAGAACACAATTATTTATATTATGAACGTCTAAAATTCGGTCATTTAAGGCGTAAAACTTCTTGGTTGTTTTATAAAAGTGACTGCTGTCACCTCAGAGTTCTTCAATTAACTTAAGGAAGATACGAAGTCAAAACGTAATGGGTATTTCCTACAAAATTAGTGTTTTTAAAAATTCCAGATATATAAATACACACTTGGCAACTGTTGAACAAGACTGGGTAACGAGTTGTGGTGAAAACGGTCGATATAAGTGCAGAAAAAGAAATTTAACATATAGGCAAATAATAACGAAGTAAAATGGTGAACATAACTTTATTCACAACAGCCGTTTACATCCAACACTATCAAACAAGGTAGCGAAGTGTCGCCTTGTAGTGTTGATGACATGCATCATCCAACATTTGTAAGGTATAACTGTATAATGTTTTCTTGCGTCTCATATATCCATTTCCTGTTCATGGGTATCGCAACGACTTTTAGGACGGTAGTGTCTTAAGGCCCGTTTACACTTGCGATTTTTGCAGCGCGATAATCACCACTTTGCTATCGCGCAACTAAAATCGTACGTGTAAACAGCCCTGCGATTATTGCGACGATGGAAAATCGCCGCGAAGTTTCAGCCAATTTTCAAGCATGTTCGAAACTTAGGCGATGATCGCGCGACGATCGCCGCCAGAATCGCCCTGCAAAAATCGCAAGTGTAAACGGGCCTTTATCGTCCTTACATGGTCTAAAATAAAATTTACATTGAATCTCAAAGTGTCATATCATTCCCCACCAGACGATAACTTCATGTTCTGTCTCAGGATGTCTCCAGGGCTTGGGTAAGGTCGTTGTTGRAACAGAGGGCCAGTCGCTGTCACATCAACTCCCGTTTTGGCTTCACCTTTCTGACTTAAGCCACTGCTCCAGTCACCTCTGTGAATAAATKAGAATAGTATAGAATATAACCAAGAAAAGGTTTGAAACGGATATAGATAAAAGAATAAAGATTTCGGTCATAACACAAGTGTTTTCATATATTTTTCACACTAAAATAGTTACAAAGCTTATGCGTATTCTTATTATTATGTCGAAAACTACAATACATGTCTAGTATGTGATCTATTCCTTGAATCATTTCACTAAACCAAACAAGCCAAAGACATCATTTTCCTAGTTCCATTCACAGCAGTTATCCACGCTAGTTAAGGCTTTTATTGCCTACATTGCAGTGCATGGAGGGAAGGAGGAGGGCAACCACTTTCTGCAACCCCCTCCCTACGCCACTTTGTGAGACGCTACAGAGTTCAAAGGAAATAAACATTACCTGGGAGTGTCTGAATACGCTGCTGGGTCCATGGGATCAAGTTCATCTGATCGACCTCTTTTATTTTTAGTTTCTATAAATAGAGTTATTTTGTCAGTTGGTTTTTATATATGGGTACATACATTATCTACATATCAGTCCAGAAACCTATAAGGGACTTGAAACGTGTAACGCCGTGCCAACCGTTTGAATATTCAAATTAATTTGCAAATTATTATTTGGAACAATTAAATTTACCCCATAGCCAACCAGAATGGGCCTTAAATCTCTTATCCAACAGCCGAATTTTCCAAATATGGTCATAACGTTTGTTCTCACATTTTTAATGTGCTTTRAATATTCTGATGCTTGGTACTAAAGAAATGTCGAGCGTAACACGTTTCAAGTCCCTTAAAGGTTTCTGATCAGTCTTAAGTAACAATGCGCTAAAGAAC